GAAATTAAATTAAAAAGCAGAATAGCATATTGTAGCCATCCTCTATTTACAACTGAAGAAAGAATTGGGAGAAAACAGAAACAAAGCAATGACAGTTTAATTTGGGGATGGAAGAACTCAGGACATTTTTTTTCTTGCTTATATTTTGATTTTTGCTCATGTTGTTGAAATATTTTTAGTCATCAATAATTGTATAACATAAATGAACATTAAGTCACAAGTGCTTTTCTAAATCCAACAACTTAAGTTGTCAGTGAGCAAAAGATCTTAATGGGCATATGGTTAAGCTATGCTTCAAAGCACCGACTGATCCAAATCATGCTACCATAACAGGGGTTAACAGGTAGAAGCATGCATTGAATGTTAATTAAAGTGATATTTAAGTTGTCTAAACAAGGAGTGCCTCAGGTATAACTTTCAAAAATTAAATGTGAAAGAGGTCACAGAGCAAAAATGATAAATTGACATATTGCATTAACAAATTCTGACCTGAACTTTAAAGGATAGCTACTATCTTGTAATCACCTCTGTATTAAGGATTTTATAACTGATTGAAAATGAATGATGATATAGTATCTATGAAAGTATTGATTATCTCTTAACACAGTGAATTCTCATTTGATATCATATTAATGAGAATTTTGTATTAACCAAAACATCCACCTGACCACAGATACACACACGAAATAGTTGAGATGTTGGGTCATACAGTACAATCTTTATAGCTAAACTATTTAAAATTTCTTAATATAAAGTAAGCACTGAATACCTTTTATTATTCTACTTCTCCCCAAAACATCACTTCAGACATCATATACGGGTTATAACTGACCTATATAAATGGCAGTCCCCATTCTCTTTCCTGTTAATTCACAAATTAACCACCTATTCTTAGGGACTAGAGGAAAAAGAAAACAAAACAACTACATCAAGAAGAAATACTCCAGAAGCAGTGGTCATAGGTTGAGAAGGGAAAGAAATTGCATAAAGGAAAACTGCTAATGCCAGGGGCCCTGAATCTAATGGCAAACTCAAGACAGTCGGCCTGTCTGTAAGTGACCAGCACTCTCTGACAACACACCACCTTTCCCCACACACCTGAAAATGTTCCCTCACGTTACAAATCAATGGACTGAAATCTACGAATTAGAACAGTTTAGTGGTTTTCCACTGTTGGCAAAGGATATGGGCACCTTTAGTAATATTGCCTCTACTGGGCTACACCTTCTGGTTTCTAAACAACTTCTGGTAAAAAGAAATTTTTATACCCAACCTATTCAGAACTGGGGGTGGGGGTCTACTTGTTCAAAGCAACCACTTGTTCAAAGGAACCACTGTTCCTGACCGGCAAAAAGTCAGCACACTGTAACGACAATGTGTTTTTCCATCAGGACAGCATGGCCATTGATGGCAGCAGCACACAGACATTCCCATGCTAACTATTTGGGGGTGGGGGGAACAGACAGAGGTGAAGGGGGCATCGAAGGCACCTTCATCCCCATCTCTCTTCAACCTGAATGGCTTTTATACATATATATGTGTATATATACATATATACACATATACACATATATATGTACATAAAAAATACATACACAGGTGGGTTTGAGAGAGGGTTCTGAGGCCAAAACGAGGTTAAAAGCAGCACTTACAGGAATATACATTTCTGCCTTTCTAAAAATAGAAAAGTCATACTCTGTACTCACGGAGCAATCTTCATCCACTATGAAAATGGTGCATTTCTGCACCTGCATGAAAGAGATAATAGTGGCAGCTATTTTCTTCAGAATCACTTCTAATGATTGTTGTTCTTCAAAAATTAAGCTAGCAAGGTCAAGCAGCACCTAGACAAAAACATTAAGAGCTTATTATTTAGTAATTGTTTGTAATTATTAAAGCATAATGATTTATATGGGTTATAAATTGTTTATATAATCTAGCAGGTTATGACCAAGTCTGCCTTTAAGTATTAAATACATCTCTGCTTATTAATAAAATTCCCTATTGATTGTTAATATAGTTAGTATGGTTGTTGAGGTCACAGGCTCTGAAGCCAGAGTAATCAGTTTTTAATCCTGACTTCCTTTCCTGCTAACTTTGTGACCTAGGGCAAGTTTCTTGAACGTGGGATATTAGTAGTAACAAAATCATAGGGCTGTTGAGAGGATTAAACAGGTTGGTATTTACAAAGCCATGTTAAACATGTGATACATAATACACACTATCAATGTTGTTGTTCCAAACTTCTGAGATCAATATCTGCCAACATTATTAATATTTTTACAGAGAGTAGTAAATATTATGTAAAATTTTAAGAGTTTCCATTGTCTTTTTTCTGGTAATTTCTCTTTCCTCTAAACCCCGTAACATTTCCTCTAACCCCCCAAAGCCTTTCTATGATGAAGGGGAGAAAGGGTGTTAGAGAAAACGTACTGGAGGTTACACTATCCTAGCTGAGGTCTGAAAGGTGAGATGGAATCATTCCAGTGAAGGGGGGAGGGGAAATATTTCAGGCAACAGTATTAGAATTGAGGGAAAGTAGCGTACTGAAAGTTCCGATCAAGCCTTATGGGGGCACAGAATATAAAAACTGCAAGATGAGACTGCACAGTTAAGCAGAGCGAGAACCCGAGAAGCCCCATGCGTCTTCTGAAGCAGCGTGGACTGCGACGCGCTCCAGTGACCACGTCTGCATTTGTAAAAACAGGGCTGGACGAAGGGCGGCGAGGACGGAGCAGGGGGAGCATCGGGTACATAGCAGCTGAAGGGCCAGTATCTCATCACCACCAGTTCTCACAGGGAAAACAGAGGGTGGATATGATGAATTATCAAAGAAATAATAAAAAAAGAAATCCATAGACCAAAAGGGCTTGCTTAAGTCTTCAGACAGAAAGGGATGAGCCGACGTCCTGGCACCAGCATGACGAATGAAGAAAGAGTCTACTGTGAAATTAAGTTACAAAAGCAAAGATAAAAAATCTGAAAAGCTTATAGACAAATACACAAAATATATATATTATATAATATAAAAAAGTATCATATAATTGTCATGTTGTGTATTTATACATATTATAGTGATATATTTAAAATATCTACAAAAGAGCCAAGAACTGGAACAACGTGGATGCACATTAGAAGACAAAGAACTACCTTTAAATTCTGAGAAACTGATTTGCAGTTTAGAATTTTATACCCAGCCATAGAGGGAGGCTGGTACAGCAGGTGTTTGCGTCCACACAAGGACTCAGAATGCTCACCTCGCCAATCCCTTTCATAAGTAGTTAACAGAGAATGTGTTGCAAGAAAACAAGGAAGTCAACTGAGAAAGAAGTATAGTTAGGGGTTCCAGAAAATAATGGAATCTTTCCAAGAAAGCAGTGAAGAAAAGTTCTATGACACCTGTGGAGAAGGCACAGGGCTAAACAGTTTATCTTGGAAGAGGCAAAGTGGAGAACCTCAATTTGGACACCTCCAAGAAAAAAAGACACTCAAAAGAATGCCTGATATCATGGAGAGTTTCGGGAGAAACCTGAGAACACGAGGCTACACCAGAGAAAACAGTTCAAGGAAAAAGAAAGAAACTCAGAAACATTGGGAAAAACTAAAAGCTATATAACAAAGGTAATATGAACAACATGTATGTAATCATAGTATTTATAAATACTTTGTTTTAAACTTCCACTTTAGAATTAACCTAGACAAAGCTTAAGAAAGGTTCGTGATGGTTGTAAGCACAACACACGTTACCCACGTGGGCAACGCAAAAGAACGGGAGAGCAGAGTTAAGGAGCAGTTGGGAAGGAGAGACGAAGGGAACAGGGACACCAAGATGCTCTGATAAAGTACGGAATCAAGAGTCATGTCCATTGCTGACAGACCAAGAACAAAACCATTAAGTAACATCACAAATGCAACCCACACAGTAATTTAAAACAGTGATACAATTTGACAGTGGTAGGATAACAGTAATGGCAAGTAAGGGACAGTGAAAGTCAAATA